AATCATGAAAACCAGCTGTGTAACTGGGCCAGTCCCTGTTTAAACCCAACCCATCTCGCAGGGTTGTTGTGGGGAAAGTAGGAGGGAGGTGCGTTTGATATGTTTACACCCTGAGTTATTTGTAAAAATAATAAAGGCAGAATACAAATAAATAAATAACGTATGGATTGCCTGGATTTCCAATTGCACTGGATTGTTGCAGCCCTGCACACAACTTGAGCCCTTGACTTTTGGCAACTAATTAAAAAAAAAAACAATTTCAATGAAGAAATGGTGTTGGGTTTTTTTGCAGACTTCCTTCATTTTTTTATTTCTCTGCTAACAGATAGTTAGTTCTCTGAAAGTCCAGAAACGTTAAGTAATGCAGACTTGGGTCAATGGCCATTGGGTAAATCTTTCAAAGTGGAAAAAGACAAAAATAATAAAAGGAGAAATTTCCTGACAGAACAATTAATCTGTGGACCAATTTGTCTCCAGAAGTTGTGAATGCTCCAACACTGGAAGTTTTTAAAAAGATGTTGGATAACCCTTTGTCTGAAGTGGTGTAGGGTTTCCTGCCTAAGCAGGGGGTTGGACTAGAAGACCTCCAAGGTCCCTTCCAACTCTGTTATTCTATTCTATAATAGAAAGCTTTGTTTTCAAAATATTTCAGGGAGAAATCTTTTCTAGAATGTTTGAACTCCGTTTCAGTTGTTGAAAAACAAACCACATTTCTAGAAACTGGAATGCTTATTATGGAGGGAAAGCTTTCCAGAATTCAATCACTGTACTCTTTCAAACTTGGCAAATTTAACTCCCAGAATTCCCCAGCCAGCATCTGACCCCAGTTTTGTTCCTAATCAAGAAATATAAATATTGTATGTGAACTGAAATATAATTACGGGGCACCAGGTTCACCAAGGTAAGCAATTTCAAGCCGGAATGATTTAAGATGGGTGGACTTAATTGTAGGCTGAGGGATTTTAGAAATCCACCCATCTTAAAGTATGCTGGTTGGGGGATTCTGGGAGTGGAAGTCCTCCCATCTTAAAGCATGCTGGCTGGGGGATTCTGGGAGTGGAAGTCCTCCCATCTTAAAGCATGCTGGCTGGGGGATTCTGGGAGTGGAAGTCCTCCCATCTTAAAACATGCTGGCTGGGGGATTCTGGGAGTGGAAGTCCTCCCATCTTAAAGCATGCTGGCTGGGGGATTCTGGGAGTTGAAGCCCCTCAAGGAAGTGTTCATTATCACCTGACCCTCTTCCCTTGTCCCCTCATTGGCAACTCACACTGACCAAGAAGGACCAAGATCTAGGCCACTAATGGTGGACTTCGTCTGACCCACAAAGCCCGCAAACCTCTTCCAGCTCAGACCTCAGTGGGATGTAGGACTGTTTGGTCCAACATGGCGCAGCATCTGACCCCGTCCCAATCAAAAGCAGGCAAGGATGACAGGATTGGACAAATTAGATGGAGGCGGCTTGATATCCCAACTGTAGCCTAGGCCAGTGTTTTCTCACACTTGGCAAGTTGAAGACGTGCGGACTTCAACTCCCAGAATTCCCCAGCCAGCAAAAACATAAATATGGTCAGGTTGCTGTCTGCCCAGTTGGAATTTCAACTTGAAGCCAGCAAAGCAAAGGATTCTGGGAGTTGAAGTCCACATGCCTTCAGGTTGCCGAGACTGGCCTAAGACTGTTTCCTGGCATTTCTTCCTACAACACGAGGACCTGCACGTTGGCATACACACCCTGATGGCAGATAGTCCTCTAATTATGACCATAACCAAACCCCGAATTGCAGTCATTAGTCACACTTACTGTAAAGGAAGTGACCACATAACCAAGCCCCAATTTTTTTTGCAGTGGTCGTTAAGTGAGCACCCCGGTCGTTCAAAGAGAATGCTGTGCTTGTTAAAGGGGCCCATTGTTTGCAATGGGTCGATTTTTCAAGAAACCACACGTTTCCAGTAAAATAAAAGTTGTAAATTGGAACCACGAGACAATGCCAACGGTTATAAATACGGTCTGGTTACAAGAGTGTCCAAAATGCCATTCGTGTGGAATTGGGGAGGAATTGGGGTTGGCAGTTGGAAATTTAAAATCGGCTCAGAAGTAGCCTTAGGCAGGTCCATCGGAACCAAAAAAGCTAATGCAATCCTAAATTGTACTAACAGAGGGATACAATCAAGATCAAGGGAGGTACTAATACCACTCTATAAAGCCTGAGTAAGGCCACACCTAAAGTACTGCATCCAATTTTGGTCACCACATTATAAAAAAGATGTTGAGACTCTGGAAAAAAGTGCAGAGAAGAGCAACCAGGATGATTAGGGGACTGGAGACTAAAACATAGAACGAACGGTTGCAGGAACTGGGCCTGGCTAGTCTAGGGAAGAGAAGGACCAGGGGAGACAGGATAGCAGTCTTCCAATATTTGAGGGGCTGCCACAGGGAGGAGGAAGGGATCAAGCTATTTTCTAAAGCACCTGTAGGCCAGACAAGGAATAATGGATGGAAAGTGAACAAGGAGAGATTTAACCTGGAAATGAGAAACTTTCTGACAGAACAATCAACCCATGGAACAGAAGTTGCCCTCGGAAGTTGTCGGAGCGCCATCACTTGAGACTTTCAAGAAGAGATTGGACAGCCCTCTGTCAGAAATGGTGTAGGGGGCTGGACTAGATGACCTACATTGTTCCTTTCCAACTCTGATTATCTGTTAAATTTGTTAAAACTTAAAAGCGATCTCTTAGCGACCGGTTGTAAGTCAAGGATAACCTGTGCACTGTTTAGGGCAGGGGTGTCAAACGAGGGGTGGGGGGCTGCTGGGGGTTCACAGGGGTTCAGGAGAACCCCTAGCTAAGATTGTGCAGTTCAGAGAACCCCCAAATCCCACTATTGGCTGGCCTCACCCTCCCCTCCCCGGAGTCCCCACACGGCCCGTTTTTGGATGCAGGAAAGTGCAGGGCGCATGCAGAGACTCGGGGAGGGTGAAAAACAGGCCTCCTGGAAGTTGAGGAAGGCCGGAAATGGGCCTGTTTCTGGCTTCCGGAGAGGGAGGCCGTTTTTGCCCTCCCGGAGGCTCAAGGAAAGCCTCCGGATCAGCAGTGGGATCCTACCTGTCCCACTACCGCTTTGATGATCTTGTGCGTGTGCAGGCGCCCCCTAACACAAGCACCTCTTAACGCACACATGTGCAGCGACAATCAACTGAGAGGAGAAAAAAGAGAAAGGCGTAAGAGCAGGCAGAAAGGCCGATTCTGCGCTTTTCTCTTCTTTCTCCTCCCTCAGCTGATCGTCGGAGGCTTTTTGTTTTACTACCAGATCGGCTCAACCAGTCCGAACCGGTAGCATACCACCACTGCTCCGGAGCCCAGGGAGGGCAAGAAGCCACACACACACCCCACCGCCATAGTGCAGGAGGCTGACTAGGCCACACCCATCCAGCAGAGAACCCTTTGCTAAAAATTTGGAAGCCCACTCGTGTCAGAATCAAGGCCCGAGGAGCTGGATCCAGCCTATGGAGCGCTTTAAAACTGGCCTGCGGGGCCAGACTGGAAATATCAAAGAACCGCCCCGCAGTGACTCTGCCAGCCAAAATTGGGGGCGGGGGGGAGGGCCTGCAGAAGCTTGTTTTCGGCTTTCTCAGCCTCCAGCAGCACTCTGCTGGCCAAAAATGGGCCGTGTGAGGCCCCTGCGCAGCCCGATTTTAGCCAGCAGAGTTCTGCTGGAGGCCGGGAAGCCTGAAAACAGGCTGCGTGGGGCCTCTGTGCGGCCTGTTTTTGCCCAGCAGAGTGCTGCAGGAGGCCAAAAATGAGGCACGAGGAGCCATACACGCCCCCCCCCACAGGTGCCCCATTTTGGCTGGCCAAGTGCTGCAGGAGGCCGTCCAGGCCGAAAACAGGGCACGGGGGCCTCAGCAAATAACTTTCGGAAGAAAGAGATAATAAAGGTTTATTATAGATCTTGCAAATTTCCCGTTGAGATTTTTCTCTCCTCTGCTGAATGCTGTTTTGGCTTCTCTCGAACCCCAACCCGGGGCCCCGCCATCCGTGCACCTCCTAAAATCTGAATTTGGCTCCTCAGAGCTTATGGAGCTTGTGGAGCAGCATGGTGCGCAGCTCCTTGTTGGTGACGTTCTCCACGATGGATTCCAGGAAGTGGATCTCGTTCGCCTTGCGCAGGGCGCTCCCCAGCGATTCATCGAGGTCATACAGCATCTCATACTGCGAGAGGATCTCCAAGGAGAGCAGCAGAAGAGGTTCCCCCGTCCCATGGTCGGGCAACATGGCGGCCACATGAAGCACATGGCAGAACATCTGGATGTAAACAAAGGACAGCTCCCGGACGACGTTCTTCTCTTCTGCGGAGTGCCACTGGCCACGGGCGATGGTCTTCACCGAGCCCAGAAGATCGGATAAGCTAAGGCAGTAGAGCCTTCCGACGTGTTTCCACGCCTCCACTGGCATCCATGTCGCGCCACTGGAACCACAAAGGAACTGGAAGGTCCGCAGGAGAAGGACGGACAACTGGAGATGATAGGCAAAAGGCCGGAAATTCAACAACGGTAAATATTGGACGTACTCAAGCGAGTAAGGCACGTAGAGGATCTCTCGTTCCAGGAGACTTTTGATCACATGGACAAGTCTTTTCCACTCACTTTGGCTACACCAGGGAAGGACCTGGACCAGGGCCACCAAGAACCCTTTGCTGAAGAGGTTGACCTCTTCAGGGTTATCCACGTTAATCATGAGTAGAACGAGCATCTGCTCCCGCAGGGCGGTTGAGACGCAACACGTTTCTAACCAGGCCAGCAACCCACTGCCTGGCCCATAATTTGGGAGCGGACGAGTCGTCCATTCCTCCTCTGGAAGCTTACAGACCTCAAAGAGAGTCGCCGGGACCTCGTTCTTGAAATGTTCTCCAAAGACGTTCTTCATGCGGAGGCCAATGGTCCAGTCCAAGACGTTGATCTTCTTGTGCAACCAGGCTACCGACTGGGTCCACAGCTGGGGAGACAAGGAGTCCTTCTGGACCAGAAGAATATCGCAAAGCTGGGCTAAGTTGGTGACCACCAAATCTTTGGTCTCCAGGGAACACCTCTCTTGGTCTTGCAGTTGGTGCCAATATTGGCAGAAGCCATCCAGGAGTTTGCAGAGAGAAAAGGCGAGTGGAAACGGGTGGCAGGTATGAATCCAGCTCTGTTCCGAGGGGACTTTCAAAGCCTTGTCGAGGATTTGCAAGCAGAGCTCAATTCGGGGAGAATCCGACTTCAGAAATGGAAAGATCAAGCTTTGGATGACCTCCGAAGGAGACAGGAGGGGACTTGTTCCACTCGGTTGCATGAGATGACCTAGAAACTCTAAAAATTGCTCCTTCTCCTTGGGAGAAGAGAGGCGGTCCCAAACCGCCTCTTTCAAACATTCTAGGAGAAAGTTGACGGATACGTCGGGCTGACCCCGCGGTTCTTGGAAGTTCAGAGCTGGGAATGAACAGAGGATCTCGGCCAAGTATTGATGGGTTCCCAAGTTGGCGATAGCTAAATTACTCATCTTCTTGATGGTACCTTCTGGGTTGAGGACCACCAGACGGGACACTGCAAGGATGGCTTTCTTAAAACTTTCCCCAGAGGCGCTCTTGATGATCTGGTTGAAGGCCACGTTGAGTTCCTCCTGGAATCTTTCGGAGAATGCTACCATCAGCTTGGAAAGGCCTAGCCTGCCCCAAGTCGCCAAAACACCAGCAATGACTTTGTTCTTATCTGGCAAGGAAAGTTCGGTGTAACACCCGAGGATGATCTTGACCAGCTGGGTTTGTTCTTCTTGGTTTCCGGATGAATCCTCAGAGGATTCTAGAGAGGCGACGGTCTCCAGCAGCTTCAAGATCAGTTCTGGATCCTGGAAAAGTTCTTTATTCTTAACGAGGCAGGCAACCCATTCCTTGCTCAAGGCCCAGTTTTTCTCCTTCGCAAACACAGAGCACACTTCTTTGTGTCTGTCCATTTTCTTGTCAATGATCACCATGGCTACTGAAGCCAGCAGATCGCCGCTGGTGCTCTTCCCCCAAGTCTCAGGGTTGATCTTCTTCAGGAGGTCCGCGATGACTCTGCCCAAATCCAACATCACTCGGGCTTGGTCGAGGTCCTCTAGGCCGCAATCGCCTGACCTCTTCTGCAAAGAGGCCAAGCAATCGAGGAGCCGGTAGCTTTCGTAGCAGACCTGCTTAGGGTCATTCAAGAAAACCTGGAGCTCTGAAGACCACTCCTTCAACAAGGAGAGGAGGAAGCTTAAGTTGCCGAGCACCAATTGCTTGGACAACTTGACCATGTCCAGCAAACTCATGCTCCTCTCGGCTTCCTTCACCTTGACATCCAAATCCTTGTTGCTGTATCGGTTTTCGCCGTCGCAGCTCCAGAGGGTCACCACTGAGGAGATCTTCTCCAAGTAAGCCTGAGGAGACAACGCCTTCGCTTCGCACTCGGTGGCCACCAAGGCCGACAAGACATCCACTAAGTTAGCAAGGGCGTAACACTTCACCCTGGTCGGTCCAAGGTTGTCTTTGATCGTTTTGAGCCCTTCGGTCAAGATCGGGAGGACGAGAGGGACGGCGGAGTTCTCCGGCAGGGACGAAGGGCCGCTCTTGAACCGCTTGGAGGGTTGGTCCAGTTCTTCCGACTCCAAAACATGCTGGTGGGTCACGTTTTGGAACAGCAGCACCAAGCGATCCTCCTCGCCTCCTTTGTGCTTCATAATCTCCCACCAAACGTCCAGGAAGAACACTACGTCTGCCGGAGACGTCTCCTTGGCGACGTACTCCACGAAGGTCTGCAGCTCTTTTTGGCAAAGGGGATTGGGCAACGCCAGAAGCAACTGGGCAAAAAGCCGGGGCGCGTTGACCGCCTTGAACAGCTCGAAAAGGACGGTGCGGTTGATCTCGGGGATGGCGTTGCTGACGGAGAAGAAAGCATCGTTCTTCCAGCGTTGGTCGGATGGCACACCCGACAGGAGGATTTTTGACCAGAGGACAACAGCGGCCTTTTTCTTCCAGAGGTTGGGCTGGGGTGGATAAGAGGAATAGGAGGTGCAGATCTCCTGCAGAGCTTCCAGGATGGGTTTGCCCACCACCGACCAGTCGGATTTGGTCAGTTCGGATAACGGCTTCGGGTGGCACAGCCTGGACGCCAGCAGGAATCCGCCGTGCAAGACGGTCACTTCGCCGCAGATGGACACTGGCCCTGTTGCAAATGAATGAACAATACGGTGAAGAGCAAGCATGGTGGTCAACTCAAGGTTTTCTACAGGTAGTCCTCAACTTACGGCAAGGGAGCCCAAAATGGATGTCTCTTATGTGTCTCGGAGTCGGTTAGCTGTCAGAATTCTGGCAGTTACC